CAGTAGCAGCAAGCATTCAGAAAAGAACTTGGCTCTACTGAAAATCCTCAGCTTCAAGTGAAGTAAAAACTTTGCCTTCAGTGGCAGCACTTGAAGCTCCCTCTCCATTGCAGACCTGACTCCTGAAGATCTTTCTCAGCATCTTTGAAAATAAACTGATTTCCCTGAAATCTGGCATGCCATCTCTGTTCTAGGGAGGAGTCTTGGCAACTCCCCCCAGGTCACTGACTGAAGAGACTAAGAAAGCACTGTGCAAAGGTACGGTTGTCAAAACATCTCTCTCTTCATTTTTTTGGAAGCAACTCCAGTTTGTGGGTTTAAAATAAGCCAGCCACTTCTCTGACTCTATTCCCACATATGGCAATGTTTGGTAATTTTTGGCAATGAAAAAGATTATATTTTGAAGGAGTGGTTGAGTTTTCTCAATGACAAAATTATAATAATATCTCATGTTTCTACCACACTGTCATCACTGGTAATGTATCTTACTCTGTTTTTTTCAAGAATGAATTTGGAAATCTACTTAGCACTGATTTTAAAGATTAAATGTATATAGTAGCTGTGTCCAAGCACTTCAGCTATGCTTGATGAAATTCATAATCAAACATTTCAAACTGAATTATATTCATGACAAAATAATTCTTTTTTACAATGCTCCCAGGACTTGTTCAATGAAGCCCCATTCAGTTATGTTCAAGAAATGAAAGATTTATCTGTCATCTTCAGAAATACTAACAGTCTCCCTCCAGTAAGTGAGTAATAGCCCAAAATGAGTAGAGTAGATCCAAAATACATAGGAAGTTGTTGTCTGGGGGAACATAACCCACATATTTTGGAGATACAGTTGTACAGACAGAAGATAAATAAATAGGCAGAGTTTTGACTAACCTTTGTTCAGTATGCCAATACAGCTCATTTCCCTGCAATTGTGTTTGACAGACACACACAATTTGCTAACTCTAAAGAGAGCAATAATTTTTCCCTCAATCACTAGCATCACCAAAAATGACACCACCTACATTATTCCTCTCTAATGTAATAATACCCTGTTAAGCAAAGAGCTTTGATTTTATTACTGCATAATGTTTCTCTAAATGAAAAGAAAAAAAAAAAAAAAAGAACAAGTTCAGCAATAATCAACCTATCTCTGCTGTTTACATGGAAATCAGGTGGAATTTAAATAAATAACTTTTCTTTAAAGACGTCATATTCAGCTCTCCTAGTGAGGACAGACAGATGAGTGGTACTCACAGCTGGCTCCTCCAGGAAGGTTTGTGCTGCTCTTACCGTATCTGACCCCATCACCACTCTGAGACATGAGACCTGTAGGCCCACCAGGCAGGTGCCAGAACAGCCCTATATGTGCAGGGCTGCCCAATCTGTTCCAGCTCCAGCCATCTGCTCCTGCTTCCTCTAGAGGCTGACCACATCCATAGGACAGCCAGCAGAAGGGACTGTATGCCTTCACCTCTTCTCTCTTGTTTTCTGGTGTATTGCATTTGCCCCTTGAAACAGAGAGGGTTTGGATGGGAGGCTGGAACTAGACCTGAGGTTACACGAAGCCCAGGGTATGTGAGAACACTTTTGCAAACCCTGCTGCAGAGGTGGGAAATGGCAGAGCTGTGAGACCCCCATGCCAAATCCTCCACTGTTAAGGGAATAAAACAGAAGATTCCCTATTGCATGAGTGTGAAAAACTCCTTCATCAGGCAAGAAGGGGCTGCCCTGGAACACTTGGCAGGTGTGGAATAAACGCATAAGCAGTGATTTGCCTTGCCCAATCCAGCCTGGTGCTGCAGGACCTAAGGCAGGATTTTACTTTCACTGACCATGTGTAGGTTCCACTAAATAAATCACACCACAAATCAGAGCACCAACAGCCCCCTGTATTGACCTGGAAGTGTTTCTCACTCAGACAGAATAATTTGCCAGTCAGAAATTGAATCAGAACTACTATTTAGTGTGCTGTCCTGACCCAACAACACCTTGAAAACCCAAGGGGAAAGGGGCTCTGCTACTCCCACCATAGCAGCATTATGGAATTGCTCTAGGAAAGCCTCTTCTTGGAAGCAGTCTTCCCAGAAGGCAAGCTGATGTTGCCTTTTGACCTATATAAAGCTAGACAGAATTATGTGCCTTCTGAGCACCGCAATGGAGAAAGTTACTGAAAGACTCCCAAAGCATCCTCAAGCACTCCAGATGAGCAGTGTGGGAACATGGGGCTGGAGCTGCCAGCCAGCTCCCTGATAGGCAAAAGCCAGCTCTCCAAACTGGGAGCATCATCAAGGTCCCAAACTGTCATCCATCAACATCACCCTTGTCAAATAGCAGTCAGCAGTAGGTGAGGATGCTTTGGATGCTGAAAATAAAACAGGTTTTGAGTAAGCAATGTCCTAAATTTTGGCCTAAATTGGATGTAGAATATTCTAAAACAGGATTTTAAGAACAACGCTGGCCCCACACTACCAAAACTATGCCTTTGTAAAGTCCAAAAATGTAAGGAAAATGGAGCACTTGGTTCACATTAGCTGTAGTTGCAGCTCACTGGTTTAATAACAGAGCTTTCCAAAAGGAACAAGCCCGAAATTAAACCTTATGGGACAGGCCAAAAAGGACAAATATCCAAATATTTTTTACTTCATTGGCTATTATCTCTCATTTTGCATAATAATCTCTTATTAATAAGACAACATTATTGCTGCCCACTGCAAGCAATTCCCTTGTATATCGAAACAGTGACATCTGACGAAGGGGAAACAGCAAACTAACTGACTTTTGCCATAAATACTCTCAAATTTGGAGGTGCCACTGACTGATACTGCCACAATACCAATATTTATGCACTCACTGAATCACAAGCTAGGAATTACAGAGGGCTGTTTTCATACATGTAAAACCACAGAAGGTTGAGCTGCTCGGCACCCACAGACTGAAGTGTCACTGCTTTTATTCTGCCACATGTCAGAACTGGGAGTGATGGTCAGCCCAAACTCCTGCCACATTCACTGACTGTTGGGATCACTTCACTAGGACTTGGTTTCCAAAATAAATTCCCTTTTGGCAAGAGGGGGAGTATTTCATGCCCTCAGGAACATTACATTGTAACCTTAGGTATGAATGAATGTTTACATCCTCATCTACAGCAGAGAAAGGTTTCTGCCTTTGCAAAGGGTAATGTCTATCAGCCCACAAAGAGCAAAACTGGGGCAAAAACTGATTTTACAGCATGGAATAGCTGAATTCAGGAGACATCAGAAGAGAGCAAATGCATTAAAATCAAAGGGAATTTATTAAAATTAAGTTGTTACAAACTGGAAAACACAAAAATGTCTTGCTTTGAGAAAGCCTTAGACAACATTTAGCTGTCAAAAATGCTTCCCTCAACTGAAATAATTCACCAAAAATAAAAAGCACCTGTAAAAATATCTTCCAGTGCTGCTGCATCTGTGTTCCTTTTTGCTTAAGGAGATGGTTTCATACAAACCCAGGAAAGCTCCTGTTTTAGTGGAGCCTCTCTGGTGATTATGACGTATAATTTTTTGACCCAGTGACCCCTGAAAAATTTCCAGTGTAAGTGTGAGTAGCACATGTAGGCTAATTATAAATTTGCTTTTGTTACTTATTTTCTACAAGACTTCAAGAACAAACCCAGGGCTCTCTCAGGAGCTGGAAAGCAAAGGTCAAAACCTCTGCTCCTGGACTTCCATCCATGGCGACTTGCACCATGTGGCACCAGAGGCAGCAGCTGCTGGTGGCAGCTTTTCCACCCTTACCTTGCTCCGGTGACATCCACACCGACCATCAGCTGTCCGTTCAGAGAAAGGATCTCATCTTTCAGGCGCACTCTCCCGCACTTCCCGGCCGGGCTGTTCTTCTTCAAGTCTGTCACCCAGATGCACCCAACGTCGAGCACAGGCCCCTTATGCGCCTTCCTCTTCTTTCCTCCCCGACGCTTCTCCCCGTAGTCCCCCAGAGCAGGGATATTCCCAAAGCTCAAGCCCAGGACCTCATTTTTCCGCATCTCTTGGGCCAGGTACATGGTGCAGATCTCCGTATCCAAAGTCCCACAGCTCCCTGGCTGCAGGTTGCTCTCATCCAGGGAGAAGTTGAGCTGGATGTACTCACTCAGCTTCTGGACGGCCGAGCGGCAGAGCTGCTGCTCGGCTCCCTCGGCTCCCTCCCTCCGGCTGTTCTGCAGCCACTGGCACAGGAGGGGGAGGAAGACCCCCGCGTTGTCCTGTGTGATGGGCATCGCTGTTCCTGGGCATCCCCTCACGGCATCAGCCCCAGTCGGCTCCCAGGTCGTGCGCAGTGGCCCCCCACAGCCCCTGGGGGGGACACGCTGGAGCGGGGCTGCAGGTCCAAAGCAAGCTCCATCTAGTCTCACGGAGATTTTGGGGGGGTTCCAGCTGACCAAGAGCACAGTCAAGGAAGGATGTTCGGTGTCAAGGCACCACAACCGGCCCTACGAACAGGCTGATGCTGTAGCTTGGCTGGCGGGCCAAGTTTGCGAGCGTCTGTGGCTGTCCAGGTCTGCCTGCCGCCGATGTCCGGGCTCCGTCGGGAAAAAAGCGTCCTTCCCACCACGATCACCACAGCGTTTAGGTCCTGCAAGGGCGAAACAGCGTGGTTAGAACAGCCAGAAGCGCTGCAGAGGCCGGCAGCCCGGGCCCGGCGGCCCAAGGCCGGCTCGCAGGGCCCGGCCGCTCTCCTTCTGCGATTTACCACTTGAGGGCACCAGCTGCTCTCCTCAGCAAGGGAATAAAAGGTCACCATCAGCTCCCGACCTTGGCGGTGAAACGCGGATTGCAGAGCCCTGGGGATGCTCCTGCCGCAGCTCCAGGGCTCTCACCGAAGCGGAGGAGAAGTTCCTGCCAAACCCGCTCCAAGGGCCGCCGGAGGGGCACCGGCCTCACCAGCCCTGCCGTCCGTGCCAGTCGTTTTGGGCTGGGATAGGCTTAAACCGGGCTCTCCCCGGACTCTGCTCCCCAGCAGGCCGCAAAAGGGATGGGCAGCAGCAATCACCAAGGGAGAGGACACCAATGGGGCCCTCCTTTCGTGGCAGCAGCGGCTCACAGCCGCCTTGTGGGTAAGGCATCTAAGGGTAGTGACTACCCAGTTTCCTGGGAAAAGAGTAGAGCAGGTGAATTCCCTCATTTTCTGCAGTTTGGAGCGGGAGGCACACAGGCAGCCAGGAGGCAGGGGGAGCTGGGGCAGGCAACAGGGCGAGACGGGGGTTTTTTGCCAGGATCGTTAGGATCTATGAAAGAAGAAAAAACCCTGACACTAGTCAAGTCTGGTCGACTGGATTTTTCAGGGCTTTATTTTCTAGCAGTGGATGCTGCTCAGTGAGCTGTGCACCAAGAAAGCAGAAGAAAGCAGCAGCTACAGTCTTGCAGCCTGCAGGTCTGCTCTTGCAGATGTGTTTGAAAGGCTTGTGTTAGGTAGAAAAGCTGTAGAAAGAGCTTATAACCCCAAAAGAAAGAATGTAGAGGGAGGCTCTTGCAAAATCCTGCTGCCCAGAAGCTGTATCCAAAATTCTGCCACCTCTTTGGCCGTGGGGCACACTTCCTAGATGGACAGGAGTGACCCCAAGGAAGCTCAGGCAGGGACAGATCAGGGCCACATGTGGTGCTCGTACAGGAGGACACCAGCATCTTCACCAAGAGGGTGGTGTTACACCAGCGGCTCAACAGGAATAGATATCAGCTTGTGAAAGGAGGAACTTGCCCCCTGCTTAGTCAGAGGGACTTCTGAGTTAGGCTCTGGGTAGGAAAAACGGGGAAGAAAAGGGGAAGAATAAAGACAGAAACTGCCCAGGCACACGTCTAAAACAAGAGGTGATAATACACAGACTGACTAGGAGATAAGATTAAATCCTCCGAACATTTTAAACACCTAATGCAACACTGGTGAGTATGTGGGGTTTTTATTAACACAGACCTTAAGTCTTATTTAAGATCTCATATTTAAGACAAAAGCAATGATTTAATTGACATAACTGGAACTTGCTGTAGTAAAACCTAGATCTGGAATATTGATCTAAAAATGCATAGCTTATATGTGGACCAACAAAAAGAAAATAGAGGCAGAATCCCTTGGCACAGAGGATGATGTGAATAATTTCTCTGAGGTCCAGAACAAAGCGGAGGAAGAACTGAAATTATCCGGTTAACAATAAAGGTGGAAAGCACAAGACAATACAAATACAGGGGAGGGCACAACAAACACTAAACCAAGAACCTGGTAACAGCTGACACAATGGTAATAGGAAAGTGCAAGCATGAGATATCTGCTAGGAAAGGAAAGCAGTAGGAGATAGAAAGTCTTGGTGCCTTCAGAGCAATACTCTCACATAATGGATGGGGTCAAGTAATCAGCAGGGAAGTGCCTCCAGAGAGAGATGTGTTGAGGGTAAGAAGGTGGAAAGAAACTCATGTAAGAATGCCTGTAAAATCAAGGGATTGGGAGCAGAAAAACAGAAATGCCTGGCTTCAGTGGATTAAAAAAAAACCAAACTGCTAATAGAAAATTCATGGAGAAGAGTTTAAAGGAAAAAGAAATCAAGGTGAGCTGTAGTTTCTCGAAGAAACAATATTTTGTGCTTAAAAGGCACAGGAACAATAGCATCTCAATGAAGAATGATCAGAAGACTTGGCAGCATCATGAGCTTTTCATTTTCCTCAAAGACAAGAAAAAAGAACACTAAAAGGTTACTGAGCACAAGTTTAAAAAAATAGTGTGAACACATAGGCAAAAATAATGGAAACATAAGGGCATAAAAATGAAATAAAACTTGCAAAAGATAAAAAAAAGTTACCCTTTATATGCATATTAATACCAAGAAGGCAATCCGGAAGAATGTTGCTCAGAGAGAAAGTTATTGAAAAATGACACCAAAAGATGCAACACTGGTTTGAGTTTTGCTTTAGTCCTTGTTAAAATTACCAACTATACACAGGGAATTAGTACACAGTATGGCACAATATCACTACAGAGGCATACTGTCCTCTTCTCTGCCTGTTCCAGAGTAAGACATCAGTCAAAGTCAGGTATTTCCAGTCAAGCAGAGTGGGATAAACCATCATTTAAATTTCCTACAAAATCAGCTAAAACCGTCTCAGATACTGTTGGTCACTTGTGAGAACTCAGACAAGTAAGGGGCCAGAATTAAGGACAACAGTAAATGCAGTGGCATTCAAAGGTAGAAAGAGAAGCAGCAGAAAAATGTGACATCAGTCAATCTGGCATCAATCATCCTAAAAACTCCATATCAAACAGAGAAATAGTTTGCATGTTTGTGGAAGAGAACAAAAATCTAAGGAGTAGAAGACACAGGAGAGGCAAGAATAAAATAATGTGAAATCAAATTAATTTCTTTTTATAATGGAGAAGTTGTTGGATGTCATTTATCTGGGCTTTATTACAGCTTTTGTCACTGTCTCAAACAACTTTCTCATAAATATACTAGGGAAATATGATTAAATGAGACTACTATAAATCCATACCCAGGGAGTAGTTATTAATGACATTCTGTGAAAACAGAAGGACATTGCAAGTGGAGCGCTGCTGGATCTGTATAGTCTGGTTCTACTCAGCACATTCATTAGTGACCTGGACAATGAAAATGAGTAAACATATTAAGTCTGCAGATTACACGAAGCTGGGCGTGTCTGCAGACACTGGAGAACAGGATTAGCATCTAAAACAGCTTGGCAAAAATCGGAAAAATGTACTCTGAAAATTAGGGTAAAGTTCATCAAGGAAAAATGCAGATTAGTACAAAAGGAATATCTCACTTAGAAAGGGTTGGCTATGTGGCAAATCTTTGGAAAGAGATGCAGCATTTTCACAGAATCACAGAATGGATTAGGTTCGGAAGGGATGTCGTCCTAAACCCCCCTGCCATGGTTCAAAGCCCATTCAGCTTGGCTTTGAAACTTTTCCAGGGTTTATAGGGAATCATTCCTGTCAATCTTCTGCTGTTGGAGAAAAACAAGGGTCATTGTCCCAGGATGTGTCAGTGGGGACAAAGCCAACAAGGCACATGAAGTATTTCTGTAGATTCACAAAGGTCTCAGCAGCAAAACTGCCCCATTGGAGCAGAGCTCTGACATGACTTGCCAGTCTTGAAAGTGGGACTTACTAGGAAATAAAAAATCAGGGCCTGCTAAAAAGGAGAAAGTATTGCAGGTAGGGTGTGAGAGTACAAGTTAAAGGTCCTCATGTATTTTAAAATGCCCCACAGTGACCATGAGGAGGAAAGTAGTCTATTCCTCTTGTCCATGATGGAGTAATGTATGTGAATCACATCCAGATAGATTTAGGGTAGTGGTTAGGTAACACTCAGAAGGATGAAGAATATCAAGGCACTGGAGAACACCATCTCAGGTTCTGGAGTCTCATGGTCTCTGCAGAAGGTCAGACATCTGCCATAAACAATGATTAGAGCCAATATCTCTTGGGCTGTGGAAACAGTAGATGTCACCATTTCAATCCCTCTAACTTTTACTTCCTTCAACATAATTTTCCGTCCTTGTGAGAATAAAGTAAGGTGTTATTTAATGGATAATATCCTGTGAGTTATGTCAATGACACCCTTGTGACAATGACACTCTTTGTTTTAACAGCAAATTTTGGTACAGCTCTCAGTGACCATACAGGGTTCAGAACCATTCAGGCTCTAGAGAAGATTAGACCAGATCACTTTTTGAGGCCTTTTTTGCATAACAATTTAATGAGTTTTGCTGTCAGCTGTTCATCAGTTTTGACATTGGGCATACATATTATGGACTGTCTTTTCCCAACTATCCCCAGATCAAAAGCACTGCCAGGGTCTCCAGCCTGGAGATCTTGGGGCTCCTTGAAAGCAGCTTAGAGTTCTAGCTCAAGTCTCCAAACCTCCTGTGCATTGGCAAAGGGCACTGATGTTGACTTCAGCTTCAACCCTGCAGTTAGCTGGCTGGAGCGTTCAAAGGCGTCTGCATTCCACGCAAAACTCATCCATCATTCATTTAGCGGCATTGCTGGAGGGCTCTCCCCCTCCATACACACACATCCCTCCAGAGATGGAGGATGACTGCCTCCTCCACGCTGCCGGAGGCAGGCAGCCTTCAAAACCCCATTCCTTCTCCCCACAGGAGAAGCTGCGGGCATCGATACGCTGCAGGTTGCCTGTCTACGCCCCTGAGCTCACTGCAGAGCCACGGCAGACACTTAAATTAATCATGTAGGTAATTATACAGTACTTTCAAGGGATTTGATATGCTCAAACAAAACCTTCTGGCTTTGGAAAAATTACTCCAGACAATAAATAGGAAATACTCCTTCCAGATGTAACAGACAACACTGAGCTGAATACCTCTGTGCTGGTGAGAAGAGCGGTTCAGGTGTCCACTGCCAATGGAAGCAAAAAATAGAAAGGTGGTAAGCTGTTCATGAAGGGAAAAAAATAAATCTGCCTGATAAAAATTGAAACCTTAACACTAAGAAGAAATTTATTTTTACTCTTGACTTCCACAAAATAGACTCAAGACCTATATGAGAAAATTTCATGGAGTCACCACCACCTTGCTTACTTTCTGTAGGTGACAGGTCTGGTGACAGGCCAGACCACCCCACCTGCCTAGCATCAAGTACAGACCTATGAGCAAGTTACTCTACTTTTATGCCCACCCCAGAATTGCCTAGACTTGTCTGGAGTAAAAAAAGCCAGAACTGGGATTGAGCAGCCCCCTGGGCCCTAAATCCCCTGCCCTGTGAAAAAGAATCCCTGTTCCTAGGGACAACTTTCCACCAAAGAGATTTTGTCCTGGTTGCTCTGAATCCCTCTGAGGCTACTGATTCACACTCTCTGGTAATTAAATCTCCCATCTTAGGTAGATCTCAGTAGTGTTGTCTATTGAGATTTTTCATTAGCAGTTTCAAGGATAAAGTGAACTAAGATTTTGCAGATAGGATGTTTGCAAGCACAGAACATCTCAACTGGGAAAGTACTAGGGAGGGAAATGTCAATTAATGTACTGAATGTGATATGGAAACAATATTAGTCCTGTTCAAACAGAAGGATCATGGTGGTGCAGAGACAGCATGACCACTCAGTTTGAGGAGGACCCACAAAGGGGATCAGCCTTTCATGGGATTTCATCTTAAAGAGACTCTCACCATGCTAACTGGTTTTAGGGCTCAGGCTTACACTCACTGCTGTGGCAGGCCGTGGACTGAACCCAGAGCCAACCCACAGCACAGGCCAGGTGCCCACCTTTGCAAGAAGAGAAGCTTTTGGGCCAGATGCTCTCAGAGGAACAAAAAGATGCTGCAAAAACCTTGATAGAAGCATGGTCCCCTCTTATCCAGCAGTGCCAACCGCCAAGTCCCACTCCATCCTATCCAACCACCAACCAACCAGCCACTTTGCATGGCTGCAGCCTGGGTGCATCCTTCTTCCCAAAGGTGTGCCAGCACCTGGTGAGCAGAGCTGCCTAGTCCCCTTCCTTGTGCCACCAGCAACAAAGATCCTCCTGGGCATCACCAAATACAGACTCCAGATATCACAGCAAATTTTTCATGGTCTAATCAATAAAACTCATCAAATTTCAAATAGAAAAACACTTACATCTCTTATATTTTGCTGGAATGCTGCCCCAACACTTTGCATAATTGGAAATAGTCTGTATTCTGGCTTAAATGTACACATAATCAGTTTATACACACAGACATGCAGCTTCTACAGCTCTCTGCTCTTCTTAGTGTTTATAAGCTCTTCTCACCTTCATCCCTGGAGTATTTACAGCCAGAAAAATCAGCTTTTACCTGCCTGTTCCACCCAGCACACCCATATAAGTTGTGCTCTCAAAGGCTGAAATACCACCCAAGTAAATAAACTGCCTATCTTCTTCTCCATTCTTCAGTGGAAGATTATTGTTTTTATGTATCATATATTTATGGCTCAGGAAGTAACACACTTTCTTCCTGCATCTCCAGCCTTTTAGTCCAAAATACCAGGTTAAACATACATGCTGTAGATGAAGGGAGAATGTTTCTTTGAGGCTTTCTTAAGGCAGCACAAAAGCAGCCTTAAATGATTGCTTATGGAAAAATAAGAATATTTTCTTTAAAAAAGTTGAGGCTGGAACTGTCAAAAAGCATATGTGGATATTCAGTGCATAAACAATAACCTTATTTCTTTTCTGACAAATTGAGCTTTTTCTTCCTATGTTGTCCTCAAAGGAATTATGTAAAGAGCTCAAATAATAGCTTTCTCATAGGGGGAAACAGAAATGCAGAGGGTCATTAAAATGTCCCATTACTGATTTTTAAAAGGTGATTTGTGCAAATGGCCAAGACCCAATCCTCAAGGATAGCCCCTTTGGCATTTCCAGCCTGGCCTAAACTTCCAGAAAAACATACATACAGTTATTCCAAAAATTGTTTTCATCCCCTGAGTGAGATCACTTTATAATTGCTTTAAAGGTTATATTTGACATATACCGTAAATCTTTTTATATATAGATGAAAGCATTGTACTTGTTTTCCTAAAGTCATCTGGGCGTTTCAGCACCAGAGAAATAAATCCACTACCAGCAAAAGACATTCATTTACTAATTTCTGTTCAAGTGTAGTTTCTAATTATTAGTTAGAAAGCAATAGCAAAAAGAAAAAAAAGTAACAATGGGGAAAAGCCCATCTTGAAACTGCATTGAGGTTTTTCACTAAAAGACATGCTATTGTCCAAAGATGGTTTTGCTGTAATGAATGGTCTGAGGTCTGAAATCCTTCAGGACAGCAGCAAATCTGTTTTATTCTGGATTACCCAGTGGTACAAATCAGATCCAGGCACATGGTTATGTTTCTGCTGAATTAGTCAGAGTGCACATTTACAGGTCAGCTTTATGCCAGCCATAGGAAGACTTCTGATATTTGACCTGGCAATAAAAATTTAAATCTTACACTGGGAGGCTTTGAGAGATTTTGAACAAATTTGAATTGACAGCAAGTTTTATAGCAGTCAGCATTTTATATTTCATGGCCTCAATACTTTTAGTACAGCTGTAGGAGCCCTAAAGCTGGATTTTCTGCACAGTCAAACCACAGCCTCAGGTTTGACCTCTACACAAGTAACCAACAGGAATACAGGAATATTAAAACTGGGATTTTTGTTCCTTAACATCAGCTGAATCCTCATCCGAGCTTGTTGCCACAGGCTCCATTTCTGCCCAAAGGAGAGGAATAGGCACTCTTAGGAAGAAACATTTATCTGGCCCCTTGCACGTTTATTTTCAGACTAGATGCATGACATCTTTCAAGTGCACTTTCTGCTCCATTACCTAAAAAATGTGTGGCCAAGTAAAACAGACATATCTGAATATGATCAGATGAAATCTGCTTTAAACCAGTTAACCAGGCAAACTGGGAAAAGAAAAAAAATCTAATATAGCATAGCTAAATAAAGGCAGTGGTGAAGCTGTATCAGTTCTTGCAGACAGGTTCCCTGCAATGCTTTCTTAACTCCTTTGATTTTCAAGTATTTATGTCCACTATATTAAAGATCAAAAGACCTGTGCAAACATCTAAACTTACTAAATCAAACCTAGTAATTGCCAGGACGTTTGCAGTATCAGCCCAAGCAAGCCCTGAGAACAAAGAACAGTTCACCAAGAGGACACTGAAACAGCCGAGCATGGAAATGCAAAATTATTGCAGGAAACATTGCACTCTAAGGGGGGCACAGCAGTTAGGTAAAAACCTAACTATATGCTTGAATGTGTTTTGAAAACCTCACCACCAAATAGCTCTCTACAGGAGTTACTTATTTCCAGGTACTCTCACAGTATCCAAAACACTGGCAATTGGTAAAATCTTTCCCTAAGGAAATGAGACTGTGCCCATTTTTATAAAGAGGGAATGGAGCTACAAAAAAGTAGGCATGCCATACAGCCTCACCTGAAGCTTTCCTGTAGGCACAGGGCCACTGGAAAATTTCATAAAGACCGTACGTGCCTCTACTACTAAGTGCCATGTAGAGCACCATGTCCCACCAGAGGATGGGAAGAGAGCTCTCCTAATTCCTTCTACCCTTGCTCCAGATTGTCTGAGTGCACTGCAGGACTGTCCAGGAACAGTGTGCTTCCACTACAGCAGCTTCCACCACCAGTGTTACTCCAAGGCCATAGGGTATGTCCTTGTCAGCAGCGCTGCTCAGGAGGAACTGCCTCAGCTCTCACAAAACCAACCAGTGCCTCCTGGTAGAAGCTAGTTATTCCTTCTAGAGCTCTGAAGACATCCACTTCCTCCTTCCTCTTAATGTCCATACAACATAAGCAAGCTCATAAAAAGAGACATGTTTCCAAAACATATTGAATGAAATTATACCAGAAATCAGGGATCATAATATCCCAGAAAGTATTTCACAGTGGAACAGGAACATGGTGATATTTTAATGATATTACTAAAAGTAACATGAATAGGTGAAAGCTGAAAAACACATTCACTGTATGTCAGCAGTTAACAGTAAAGCTCTGGACCATCAGGTCAGGCAGCACAAGCCCCTTCCTTACTGAAGTCTTGTCCATGTTTAAGAGTATGGTGTCCTCTGGGGACAGCAAACATGATGTATTTTGGGATGGTGAGCAATCAGGCAGGCAGCCCTGCTCTGAAAGCAGGGAAAACCAAAGCTAGTTGTGTTGCAGATGGCAATAAAATGCTGAGCCAGAGCTGCAATAATGCAGTTTTAGCTCTTTTGTGTATGAAATAACTAGGTTGTTTGACCTTCTTGGTTTGGTAAGGAAACCTCCCAAGTGCACTTTTCTACAAACCAAAACTGCTGTGTTGCAAGAGGAGATTCAGAGACAGACAGTGCGCTTTTAAACTGGAGAGACAGCCAGGCTCAAACCACTGGGCTGCATTTTCCACCATCATTCAGATGAGTTAAAAAGAGACAGCAGAGGAGGAAGCATCCATCTGGCCATCCATTATTAATGAGAGGATCAAATCTAAAACTCTTTCTGATACTGATACAGAGCCCTTTAGTATGATCAAATTATTCTCTTTTCTCCTCACCCTCTTTATACACAAACTGTCTCCAGCAGCCTCTTCTTCAAGTCCAGGTCAGGTGGGAAAATGAAGAAGCTTTGCAATTTCTAAGTGGCTTTCTAAATCTTTCCAATATTCTTATTTTCAATGTACTTTTGAGGACTGAAGGAAGATAGGCTTGCCTTTTTGCATTCATTTAAACTGGAATGAAACAACTTACTTCAGACAAGACTAAAAACCACCTAATTCTCACATGATCTAGTGTCCCAGACTATATCAAAGCAAACTTCTTTAGCTGTCAGATCATTAAAACTACTTATCTACCTCTAAGCCCTTAAAGACTATTCAATTCGATAGCAGAACAAAAAAAAGCTTGTTTAAGGAACCAAGTTATTGCAAGCTTGTTCAGCAATGAAAGAACTG